TCCTCCCCATACATGGTTCTAAAAAAAAAAAAAAATGTCTTTTGTCTTAAAAATGTGCTTGGTCTCAGTGTGACAAAACTAAAACAATATAAAGCCAATTAATAATACTTAAAAATACAAACTTAAAATGTTTTTCTTGTCTAAGAAAGTTAATACAAACTGCTTGACTTTAAAATTGTTGTGGTTTTGGTTGGACCCTAGGTTTTAAGTAAGGGTTAAAATTAGATACTTATTCTATGTAAGAATTCTAACTTCTATGTCATTAAAAACCTGCTTGATATAAAAAAGATATTAAAAACTTGGTTAAATGAATGTGTCAAACAAAAAATTGTTACTAAAGAAGGGGAGTTTACTAACCAGTCATTTCAGGCTAAATTTACTAATCCAGTGTCTTTACAAATATTGGTAAAAATAACTGTTTCTTAAAATTAATGCACATGGCCAAAAGTTTTAAATGAAAATCAAGAGATCTCTTTGTTCTTGCTTTTTGCCTCCGGAGGATTAATTATAAATGGCGCCTATAAAAAATCCTAAATTTTGAGATCGCGATCTAAAATTGTGGTAAAGAAAAAACTAATTCAAAATTTAATGGTTAAAAAAAAAGCACCATGCCTTAAGGTTTTAATGTTGGGTATTAATACTTTACTGTGGTTTAAATGTGTTTACTCATTTGTATGCTCTACAAAGGGAATAATAATTAATCTGGCCTATGCAAACAAACAAAACTTACTTCTAGGCTTTTATCTAAACTTCTCTTGAGAAGATCTTGTTCCAGGAAGACTGCTCTACTTGTCTTTCCCCTTGGAGAAAACAATATATTCTCCCAGTAAATAACTATATTTCTTTACAGAATTCAAGGTAACATCTAATGCCATAAGGACAAGTTACTGAAAAATGTTTATGGTATCTAATTTTTTTCTTGCTTTTATCAATCTATCTAGTGCTTGCCTAAGAAAACTTGGTATATAAAATTGTTACAATGGCAACTCTGCAGTTGACTTAAAATTCCAGTTCTAAAAAAAAAACCTAAACTAAGGTTTTTGCTAAATTGAGTAATAAAATTTGTTAACCAATCTCTGAAATTTCAGATTTACATTTTGCTCCTTATTGTAAGGAAACTAAAGTTTAATGTCATCTCAACAACAACAACAAAAAAAAAAATTGAAAAATGTGTCTGTAAGTTGTGTAGTCTGAAGAGATGATAGTGTAACGGCTATTGTGGTGTCTTGCAATGCAGAGATTGGAAACTAAGGTGTGATAATTCTGGATACAAGTACGGTGTGCTTGTGTTTTAAAAGAAAGAAAAAAAAAGGCAAAGGAAAATGTTAAAGGTCTGAGTGAGGGATTTTTGACAGAAAACTTTTGTGTTCTCAAGTGACTTGCCATGAAATATTTTGGTTAACTTAAGTGTCAGTTGTGCACCTGTGTGGCACCAGGCTTTAGTTATTTTGATATATAAAATTGTTTCTTGTTGTGAAAACAAACTGAGTCAATTTGGGTATATTGATACCTCATAGACAGTATTCTCATAAAATTGTTTCACCTTTTCAACATAAATGTACACAAATAAAATTATTCTGAAATACATAAGACTTCTTAAAAACCTAATAAGCCAGTCATTTCAGGCTAAATTTACTGAGGCTATAAAAATGTATACTAATCTAGACCCTAAAAAAGGACAAACAATTTAAGGGTCTCAGTCTCCTTCATTAGTCAGCCTTCCTCTAACATCAGGTGTAAACTTCAGAGACTAAGTCAAGGGTCTAAAATCCTTTTAACACTTTTAAACACGGCCTTCAAGGCCTATAGTAATATGAAGGGGACTAACTAAATTAAAAAAAAAAGGGAGGAAGGCAAGAAAAGGGCCAGTAAATGGCAGTTGCCATTGTTAGTACCCTGCCACCTCAGACTCACCCAAGGCCCCATGCGCCCTAGGGCATTTGGGACCTCAACCTCTTAATGGGCTGCCAGCTTGCTTCCACTGCCTGCAACCAGGACATCTCAGCTGCAAAAAGCTGTCCCCAGGGCCAAGCCTTCTGTGTCATCACACGGGGCACTAAAAAGGGACTGTCCCACTCTCCAGAGAGGGAGGGGCCAGCCCTAACCACGGGCCAGAATGGGAGGACAGACTTGACCGTCAGCTGCCTCTGACTATGAAGAACCCAGTGCAGGAGAAGATCTTCTCTGAAGAAGCCCGGAGGTGAGAGAAACTCCCCTGTTTACTGTTTATATGGACAAGCCTCGGTGACCCTAAAAGTGGCAGACATAAAAATCACCTTTTTTGGTAAATAAGGGCCACTTACTCTGCCTTACTCCAATTCTTTGGACTGACCTACTGGTCAATTGTCCCCCTCACTAGTACAATAGGCCAGCCTAAGCCAGAATACTTTACAACACTGCTACCTTGCTGGCTACAAGGCTACTTGTTTATACATTTTTAGTTTTGTTTTCCTAACTATTGAAATGGAGAAAATTGTAAGTAAATTCCAAACTAGCAGCCTCCACAGCCACTATTGGCTCTCCTAGCTGCTACTACTAAATATAAAATGGTACTGAAGTCCTAGGTCTCACTAATTCTGTCATTTTGGCTACAACACCTCCAGGTGTTTGGGGCACTAGCCCAACATTACTCCTTAAAATCCCTAGTCTTAGTGGTAATATAAAATCGCAGAACCCTAGACCTGCCAATGGCTAAAGTTAAAGGAGTTTGTGCCCTCTTAAATAAAACATGTTGCTTTTAAATAAATACTTCTCATGAGGTAAAAGAAAATTTAAAAATACTGAAAAAAAATATATGAATTGTGGATGATGTCAAAAAACAGACAGGGCAAGGGCTTAGCTGAACACAAGCAATCTTTGCTTCTATAAAAGGACAACTTCTGTCCTGGCTACTGCCTTTTCTCGTTCCCTTACTAAATAATTCTCTTTATTGTTCTTTTGTTTGGGCCCTGCATCCTTAATACTCTCCTCGGAATCATCTCCGCTTGCCTGGAGGCCATCAAGCTCCAAATGGTCCTGCAAATGAAACCCAAAAAGACGTCTCCACGGTCCATCTTCCGGGGTCCCTTAAATCGTCATCCTGCTGTGGAACCCTAACTGTATCCCCACGTCGCCCACTCTCAGCAGGAAGCAGTCATTGATCAGACCTACGTCCCTTTTCCCTAACTGCAGTTAGGGCTCCATTTGTAAAAGGGGGGAATGAGACAGGGCAAGCTAGGGTTAGTAGGCAGTTTTAGGGACAGTGCAGGAGGGGACCTCTGAAAAATTTAGAGAGGCTTCAGAGATAAGGACAAGCAAGGGAAAGTAACCCATTCCATTAGGAAAAACAAACATGCCAGGACCAAGGACAACATTGTTAATGCTGGTCCTGGTTTCCTTCAGGTGGTAAAGGGAGGCAGAGATTGGAGAAATGGAGAGTGGTTTAATTTATGGTCACATTAGAAGGGCAGCTGTTTAACTTCAATGCAGGGATGTCCATCCAGAAGACTGGGCCATAAATTTAAAGATGCAACAAATGGGGAAAGAGAAAGCTGTTAGATAGGAACGTGAAGATCTCCCTACTCAGTAGCAAATTAAGTGAGACAGACGAGAACTAACCAATCTCAAAGAGACTGGTGGAGCTTTAGAATAATGAGGGGAAAAAGGTATATATTCCCTAAGACACGACTCCACTTTGGCTTCCTTGCCCCTTCCAGGCCTGGTTCCCTGGCCTGGGAGTCCCACTTTATTTCTGCTCTTTTTCTCCTCAATAAACTTTTTCTTCTAAACAGTTTGCCTGAGCATCTGCGAAGTTCCTGCTGCGGCTTCGTGAGACACCAACCCGTGGGGGTCTAGCGGCTGGGGCTCAGCGCTGCCCTGCAGCCTGGGATCCGATCCCAGCTGGGAGACTAGGCCTGACAATTCCGGTATCACTGCGATGCATGTAAAGGTCAATAAAAGCCTGAGAAAGCCACCGAGGGTTCTAGGACTGTCCTTTACTGGTGTACCAGATCATAGAAACCTGCAACGTGCCCATCCTGCTGCCACACAGGAAATTATATATATGTGACATATAGACAGAGAGTGTGAGGGTGGATTCAAAACAGGGGTGGGAAGGGGAGAAAAGGTTATGGTGATAGTTCATGGGGTGCTGCTTTGGTGGGTTTTTTAGAGGGACTGGAGTTGGCAGGGAGAAATCAAATGTTGTAGAAAAGAGAACAATGATGTAAGAAAATTTAAAAAATCATTAAAAGAAACAGTAATATTGGGAATACGGGTAAGTCATCAGGAATTAGGTTTGTATTTATGTAATGTCATAAAAATAAGTTATTCAAACACTGAGCTGTTTGTACAGAAAAAAATCGTAAGTCAGTTTTCCCCCTCCACTATTTTGTAAATAAAAAGTAAGTACAACTTTGCTATATATTAGTAACTACTTCAGAAATTGTGCAATTTCGTCTTTTTAAAGGAGATGAAAGGTCAAAATTTAAAAGGGAACTTGTATGTTTGGTCTAAAGTTGTGTAGGATGTGATGTATATCATAACAACTTGTAATTTTATACGATTTAACAACATCTATGCGAAACCCATTCTGTGAGGATGAAAACAAACATTTCCTTTTCTGTAATTTTAAGACGTTAGACACTTTCAGACCTCTGAGCTAATAGCTCATTTCCGCAAGAGGTCGTCTTCCGCACAGTGGCTGGGGGTGCACATCATGGTGTCTTCCAGCGTTGGATGTGTTGCCAGTCAAGAGCGCCGTAACAACAGAGCAAGAATCTGAGTTGACTTCTCATTACTAAATTATGGATAGCTAGAGAAGAGGCCATTATGCTTTCACTCTTCACATACAATTACTGGGGCCGGTAGTAACCCCCACGGGAAATGGAAATGTCTTCGAGCTAACGGATTATTTGCATCGTTCTCACTGCTAGGGGCCTTTTATGAGGCTGTCCCCAGCCTTGCCTGCACAAATATCCAACAAATCCGGTACAAAAGAGAGAAATGAAACTTTGTCTCTTATTTTCTCCTTAGCCTGTTAGCACGCACAATAGAAGACAAACAGAATAGTCCAGGCAGTGAGGCACTTGTTAAATTAGTTACCTTCTTTTCTAAGGCCGTGACCCTAGTCGGCCCTCCCGCCTCCGCTTCCTCCCGCCTCCTAAGATCAGGCAGTGACGAGGACCACTTTTTTCGTGTCTAACAAAGATGGCGGGAGTCGAGGCGGGAGTGACGCTAGGGCTGCCGCATCTTTCTCGTCAGGATCTCTCCACTTTGGTAAGACTTTCTTGGGGGGGTGAAGCGACTGCGGAGTGGGCTTAGGAGAAAGAATGACCGAACCTTCCAGTCATTGGTTCAAATGAAGCCGTCTCCTTTGCCAGACATAGTACAGAGTTTCGTAGCCTGACGGTTTTGCGCTTGTGCCGCCACTTACGCGGTTAGGTAAATTCGCTGCCTGGGTGTTGGCATGTGCGATCTATAAACATAAGACCCACGTAAGGTTCGACTGGAAAGTCTAACTGCTATTAAAATCTACTTCTGAAATGTTTAGGACAAGCATGTGTTAAGAATGTCACATCTTTAGAACTCTGAAAGGAGCTGTTTACATTCTTCTCCGTGCTAATTCTCCTTCACGTCCAGATCTGCAGACTGCTGAGAAAATTGGTAGTCCCTTTTGTAAGTGTGAACAAGTTTTAGAGTACTTACCCCAAGCTTTTGCACAGAAATAAAAACTGCTCTTACAGGAAAACCACTTTTGGTAAGCATTGGACGACTCAAAGGAAGTCTGCCAGATAATATGAAATTATAGTCCTGCTTTGTATTACATACGGCGGCTTAAAATAAAGTTTTCATTGCAGGATGTTACCAAATTGACTCCACTGTCACACGAAGTTATCAGCAGGCAAGCCACAATTAATATAGGTAAGAATAAATAATTCCATGGATTCTTACAGTTCTGCTGATCTTACCTCACTGCTTTTCAACAGTTACTATTTTTTTAATACATTATCCAGATTATAGGAAGATTCAAATGTGTGTTGAATGTAATTTAGTCCCAATGAACAAAGAAAGAACCGGCTACATTTCTTCGAAAACAAATAATCTCCAGTATTGCCTTACAAAGATGAGGTGTGGTTGAAACACATAGACATATGAAAAGAGGGTATGCTTAATGAGTAACAAATTGGAGAAGACACAAAAAGACACTCTTGCCATTTTTTGTGGATTCCTTTTTATCTTAAATTGGGTTTTTATATATATTTACCTCATTCTAGTTACTGGAAAAGAGTTTTGGAAATATTCCTGGAAATTTCTTAGCCTACAAAACTTTGTGTTTTCAGCTTAACTTCAAGAGAATTTAATCTTTCCTGAGCTTAAGAGCATATAGGAGAGCATGATAATACAATCAGGATGGCTGTGGGGAGCAAAGGGTTTGAGTGTAGTTTTTAAACATGGTGGACAGGTAAAAATAAGTTTTCTTCACTCATGTTCCAGAGAAATATTTGCTAGAAAAGGATATGTGAATGGAAAACATGTAATCACTATTACTAGTTATAGATTGAATTACATACAGTAACTTCCAGCATTGTTTTTTACCTACAAAAATGTTTTGTGTATATTATCTGCATATATATAAATTTTTCTGTTCCTTGTAGGTACAATCGGTCATGTTGCTCATGGAAAATCTACAGTTGTAAAAGCTATTTCTGGAGTTCATACTGTCAGGTTCAAAAATGAACTGGAAAGAAATATTACTATCAAACTTGGATATGCCAATGCCAAGGTACATAGGCTACTGGGGAAGTAGATATCTCATTACTTTGTTAAATATGTAAATTACAAATTTAGTCTTTTCACTGAAACTAGATTTATAAACTTGATGATGCAAGTTGTGCTCGGCCAGAATGCTATCGATCCTGTGGAAGTAGTACACCTGATGAGTTTCCTACAGATATTCCAGGCACGAAGGGGAACTTCAAGCTTGTCAGGTGATTGTTTTTGTTCTGAATATACTTTTGTTGCTATGTGCTTGTGGCTGTGTAATTATGATAAAAATTTTTAACTCTAACCAGATGCTTTTGTGACAATTTAGTAAAAAACTAAAATTACAGTATTTCTTTTATTGCACCTTCATTACCCAAAATTAAAATACTTTATCTCAATAGTGAATTTGAGCCTTTTATTTTCTAACAAACTCTGCTATATATTATTTATATTTTTTATTTTAAAATGACTGTAAACATAGGAAATTGGAAAAATAGCATAGATGACCTGTAGGCTTAGCCTATTTTTAGTCAGCATTTTGATATTATACTTAATTATTGTGTGAAATTATAAGTATAAAGTCAAGACAAGAACTTGAGTTTGATAATAAATATGTTTGTACATTCATTTTATTTTATCATGTGTCCATTCTGTAACTAACATTGCTTTCAAATACAAAACTTAGATCACCCTCAGAGATCTTTCTGTCTCTGTTTAGCTGCCTAACTGTACTCCCTCATAACTCCTTTAATTTATGGCAACAACTCCTTTAATTTATGTCTGTTTTCTAAACAGACATTTCTTGGAAATGTTATATATATTGATTACAACTTGTTACCTTTTGAGATGGGTTTGAGAGTGTCACTAGTTTCTGTTTTTATCTTTTGCTGTTAATGGACTTAATTTTTAAAGTGGTTTTATAGTAACAGTAATAGTAGTAGAAGGTACAACAATGTCTCAAACACTTCTAACATTTGCATATAATTAGTCTCCTCCATTTTCAACACCTTTTATTAGAATCTTATTTCTGAACTTCAGTGAACTTACGTTAACACATCATTGTCAAAGTCCATTGTTTATATTAGCGTTCACCTTGGTAATTATAAGTTTTATGGCTTTGGACAAATTTATAATGGCAAGTGTTTGCCATTATTGTATTACCCCGAATAGTTTTGCTGCACGAAAATGCTCCTGTATTCCACTAATTTCTTTGTTGGCAATAGAGATCTTTTTATCTCTATGGTTTTGGGATTTCAGACAAATATATCTGTTTATGTAGACGTATTTGATACTTATATGTGAAATTGTAGTTCTTGGCCATTTTAGGTGGGCTTTTTTCATTTAATAAACATTAAAATTTTCTGATGTGAACCTCAATTCATTTCTTTTTAGTACTGAATAATACTCTGTTGTCTGGATTTATCATTCACCTGGTGAGGGAAGTCTTGGTGGTAACTGCTGAGTTTTGGCAATTATGAATAAATTTGCTAAAAAATCTGCCTGCAGGTTTTTTGTGTTGAATGTTTTCAGCTCATTTTATTAAAATACAAGAGTACCCTTGCCACATCATAAACATAAAAATGTATGTTTCATTTTGTAAAAAAGAACTATATTCTTAAAATAACAGTACAGTTTTGCATACACATTAATAACGAAGGTGCTCATTATTCCACATTTTTTGCAGCATTTGGTATTTCAGTGTTGGATGGACCTGTTGGCCTTTTTAATTGAGGTGTGGTGATTTTGTTAGTTTGTTTTTTTTTTTTAAGACTTTTTATTTTCCAGTGACTTGAAATGCAACGTTTTCTCATGTTTATTTGCCATCTGTAAGTCTTTGAGGTGTCTGTGAGGTATCTGTTAAAGTCTTTGACCCATTTTCAAGCCAGGTTGTTCCTTCTGTATTGTTGAGTTGAAAGTTCATGTGGGTACTGCCCTTTGAGACATACGTCTTTTGCAAATAGAGTTCCTAATATGTGACTTGTTTTTTCATTTTCTTCAGTGTTTTTTCAGAGAAGCGTATACTTTTTTTTTTTTTTTTTAAATGTTTATTTATTTATTTATACAAGCACTGGGTACAGTCAGAAGCGCAGGAGGGTGAGAGAATTCACCAGAGCCAGAGCGGGGAACAGAACAGGCAGAAGAACCGAAGTACACTGCTGAGGGGAGCAGCGGGCAGCAGGAGAGGTCTGGCTCCATGTGGGACCCTCCTCCAGTTGCCGGGGAGCAGCCGGGGATCGAACCGGCACTGCAGAGGCTGCGGGCAGCTTCGCAACCCAGAGCTCAACCGCTGCACCACCAGGGAGGCCCAGAAGCGTATACTTTTAATGAAATTTGGTCTAATAGTTCTTTCCTGAGTCATTCATTGGGTGTTACGTGTAAGATGTCATTGCCATAACCAAGGTGATCTAGATTTTCTCCTCTTATTTGTAGAAATTTTATACTTTTCAGGCCTCCCTGATGGCGCAAGGGGTTGAGACGCAACATATGAGGCTGTCTGCGCAGCCACTGTAGCATGAGTTCAGTTCCCGGCCTGCCAGGGAGCTACCCACATGATGTAGCAGACCTCTCCTGTCTCGCCCACTGCTCCCCTCAGCCGTTTATTTCAGTAGATCTGCCTGTTCTGCTCCTTACTCTCTCTCTGGTGATTCCTCTCACTCCTCACACCTCTGGTCTGTACCCCAATTCTTTTATGTATAAATAAATTAAAAAAAAAAGAAATTTTATACTTTTCACATTGAGGTTTGTGATCATTTTCAAGCTATATTTTATCTCTTTGAAGACGTGTCTTTTTTTTTTTTTTTTTGGTGTTTTTTTTTTTTTTTTTTTTTTTGATACGAGTAGTTTGAACACAATATGTTGTGCTCCATTGTATAGCCTTTGCTTGATTGTGAAGATCGAGTTAATTGCATTTCTATGTGTACATTCAGTTCATTCAGTTAATATATTCACTTGCTAGTATCTACCGTCTTGATGACTGTGTCTTTTTTTAAAATTTATTTAATTTTCTTAACTCAGTGTTCTCCCATCAAGTTTAGTCTCTGGTTCAACTATCACCATCTCACCCTTGAACTGTCAGCATAATCTCATGTGTTCTTTGTCCCCTCTTTTGACACCTTTCCCTTTTTCTTGCTGTTTGCCTCAAATCTATGGTAAGATGAAAGTTTTGTCTTTTTGCTGACCCTTTGTTTTATCAGGGTCTCCCTGATAGAATTTAAGAAAATTTATTGTGACATCATCTAATAATTATCTTTTTCTCCAGACATCCTCCACCCCTGGTTTAGTGTAATCCCTTCTCACTCCATCTATGACTTTTATCTTTTTTCACAAAGGACATGAGTTTATATTTTTTGATCACTCAGTAGTATTCCGTTGTGTATATATCCTACCTCTCTTTGGTCAAGTTACCTGTTTTGGGGCATTTGGGTTGTTTCAATAACTTTTAAGTATCTTCCACAGCTTTCCACTGGGCCTGTTTGCGTTTCCACCGATAGGATAAGAGGTTTCCTTTTTTACCACATTCCCACCAGCATTTATTGTTGCCACTTTTTTGTTTTTGTTTCTCTGATATGGGCCATTCTCACTGGCATGAGGGGATACCTCACTGTGGTTTTGATTAGCATTTCCCTGATAATGACTGGTGTTAAACATTTTTTTATATGCCTATTCATTTGCATTTCCTCTTTTTAGAAGTATCTTTTAGTTCTTCTGTCACTTTTTAACTGGGTTATTTGCTTATTTTTATTGAGTTTTGTAAGCTCCCTTGGGACCTTTGATACAAGAGCCACAAAGTCCACAAGTTTAGCAGGAGAGCTTTTGCTATTCCAATTTTGGCAATATTTGTTCCATTTTTTGAATAGTGCCACTGAGATTTTTACTGAAATTGTATTGAATCTCTAAATTTGGGTAGGATAACCATTTTGACAATATTTCTTTCAATCCATGAGCAAGGAACATCATTGTACGTAGCACACATATTTTCTCCTATTCTGTAGGATGTCTTTGTTTTGGTTGTTGTCTCTTTTGCTGCACAGAAGCTTTTTCAGTTTAGTTTAATGTAGTTTTAGTTTAACATCATCGCAGCTGTTTAATCTTTTTTCTTTCATTTACAGTCTTTGGAGATGAATTCTCAAAGATGTTTCCAAGATGTTTGTCATTTTGTGTTTTACCTATGTTTTCATCTACATGCTTTTTGATTTCAGGGTTTGAGATGGTTTTTGTGTGTGGTGTGAGGTAGTAGTCTATTTTAATTCTTTTGTGTGTGACAGTCCAGTATTCCCAACACCATATATATAGAGCTGTCTCTTCTTCCAGTATATTTTGTTTGTTCATTTGTTGTACATTAGTTGATCATACATGTGTTTGATCAACTAATTGTTTCTGGACTTTCAGTTCGATTATATTGACTGTCTTTTTGTTCCAGAAACATGCTGTTTTAATTATGTTTTTGTAGTGTAGCTTAAAGTCAGGATATATAATGCAACCATTCTTCACATTTTTAGCAGGAGATCTTTAGTTATTCCAATTTTGGCAATATTTGTTCCATTTTTTGAGTAATGCCACTGAAATTTTTACTGGAATTGCACTGAATCTCTAAATTTGGGTAGGATAACCATTTTGGGAATATTGATTCTTTCAATCCATGAGCAAAGAATGTCTTTTCTTTACGCCCTTCCTTTATTTCTTTTAATAAAGATTTATTTTTATTTACTTACGTATACAGGAACTGGCTGGGGATTGAACTCATGACACAATGGCAGGTGATATCTTGAAAAAGCTGAGACTTTAACCCCTGTTCCACCAGGGAGGACCCTTCTATTTTGTGTGTGTGTGTGTGAGAGAGAGAGAGAAAGAGAGAGAGAGACCCTTGCCAGCAGCTGGGGAATGAACCGGCGCTGCAGAGGCTGCGGGCAGCGTCGCAACCCAGCACTCAACTGCTGCGCCATCAGGGGAGGCCATATATTTTTTTTAAGATTTATTTATTTATGCATACAAGATTGAGGTGCAGGCCAGACATGTAGGGGTGAGAGGATTCACCAGAGACAGGGTGTGAAGCAGGACAGGTGGATCTATTAAAATACACAGCTGAGGGGAGCAGCAGGTAAGACAGGAGAGGTGTGCTGCACCATGTGTTCACTTTCCAGGCCTGGGATAGAACTGGTGCTGCAGTGGCTGCAGATGGGAGGTCCCTCCTTCTGTTTCTTTTAAGAGTGTTTTAACAGTTTTT